TGTGTTCTGGATAAAGTGAATAGGAAAATGAACACCTTTGCATTCTACACTGTTGATGGATGAGGAACACACCTCTGCAGGGTATGGGTGAACATGTGAACATAGCTCCATATGTTTCTATATCCCATGTTTGTTCCCTTGTGCTTCTTACAATGTTCCTTTATCACTTTACTACACCTTAGCTGTTGTGCACTCATGCTATTATATCTTGGTGTGATGTTATTGATTAATATATGTAACTATTATTACTGTTATACTTTTTTTTTTTCATAACTTCAATTTTTTTATTAAAGAAATCACATCGATTTGAGGTTAGATATCTCATATAATTTTATTTTTATTGATGCACACTAGGTATGTTCATGAGTTGTGTATTGAATTAGAGTGGGATAGAAATCATCGCAATGAGGATATCTTGCCCTCCTGTTTGAATCCAATGGTAAACAGCTTATAGAACTTGCAAATTCTCCATAAACTACAAACTCCGTGGGCAGAAATGATTGGCTAAATACAGAATAATGGTTCTGATGTTGATTCAAGAGTTTCATAGACAATTATAAAGTAGTATTTTCATAAATAATTTAATGTAAATTTATCTCCATCTGAACACTTTTATCATCTTTACTAAGTATTATCGACGGCTAATTACAGATTAACCTCATTTCAATCTCTACACTTTAAATATTTACATCATCATCCTTAAAATTACGAATGTCATTTAAATCCATTTATTTTAATGACATTAATTTTATTAACGAAAAAATAAAAATAAAAAATAAGATAAGGTCGACTCTCACTACGATACCACCCGCCTCTACGAGAAGCTTACTACCCGCCCCACGTCGCTATGTATCTGTGTCGACGTTGACACAGTTGCCAACGCCGATGCTAATGGTGATGGTTACAACGACATATACAATAAAAATGGTGAAAAACTCGTCACAGACCTGTTAGGTGGATCTCAACCTCAACCCAAAGCTAAAGTCACCAAACTCCTACCGCCTAAGTGGATCTCAACCTCAACCCAAAGCTAAAGTCACCAAACTCCTACCGCCTAAGTTCCAACACCACCTCTCGTTGAGTAACCCTTTTACCGTCTTGCAAGAACTGACATAACAAAAGCTCCAACAACCCCAACTTCAAGTCAAGACTAAGATCCGCCCAACAAATCAACAACAAGATGACCACCATCTTCACAGTAGGCATTGCAACGACCACCACTATTTACATCTATATCGTATTTACATCTACATCGACAAAATTATCACTCGACAACTGCACCTTCAGACATACATGCAAAGCAAGTAGGGTGATCGACAAAACGCTTCTTAAAGACACAAGTAGCATTGCAATGAGAGAAAATATTATCATCATCGAATACAACTACATCAACATTGACATCAGCATCCACAACCATCGATCGTCATCAAACATTAAAATTATATTTTTATCATTTATTTTCATGTTTTCATCAATAAAACTAATATCGTTATGATTAATAAATCCAAATGTTTCACTTTTATAACTATAAATATAATTAACTCTAAAAAATATAAAAAATATTAAACAATTAACTATAAAATTAATCTATAATTACCCCCTCATTAGAATTATCTTATTGATTCCTTGTCATAAGGACCACCACCATTTACAAGACACATACAAAGTAACTCAAGACGATCGACAAATTACTTCTAATGAAAGCTAGTGGCATCACGATAAGAGAAAATCTTATCATCATTGGAGACAACTAAACAACTACATCATCATTGACACCAACATCCACGACCACCAACATCATCAATCATCAAACATTAAAATTATATTTTTACTTTTTAATTTCATATTTTCATCGATAAAACTAACATTATTAAAATAAATAAACATATATATTTCAATTTCGTACCCATAAATATCTCACAATTTTACAAAGATAGCTAACTACAAACTTAATCTATAATTACCCTCATTAGAATTATCTCATTGATTACATGTCGCTATACATGATTATCCATACCAACATCAATTTTTCAAATCCCATTTTTACTAAATCACGTCGATAAAATGAGTTTTAGCATCAGGCAAAGTCAATCAAAGCAAACCACAGTACATGTAGATGCCTGCATTATTGCTGTCGTCTCTGATTCGGATGCCATGCCGTGTAGCTTTGCTGAATCGCCTCATTAAGCATTCAAGACTCCTGCAGTCAGTCAGATCTTCCATAACTTGATCATCAAGAACAAGATTTACATGCCCGATCATACGCCCAACAAGCTATTAACAATCCATTGAATGCACCTAAAGTTCTAAATAACGGTTGTGAAAAGAAATTAAAAGGTGAGAGTGTTCGTATCATCTACATTACCACAAAACATCATCTATATTATTCAGGTCTATCACCACAGATTTGCTAGACAAAAAAAGGTGCGATGATGGAAGTTCCTGTAAGCATGTGATCCAATAACATCATGTAATACATACCTGCTTGAACAGAGTTGCAATCTTACCACTGTTGTACATCATGAGGAAGCATTTATGCCTATAATCTCTTGAGGTTGTCACCAGTAATTTACTTTGTAATCTAATCAACACAGCAGTCAGTACAAGCAAGAGTTGTGCCCATGGAATATTAAACTCCATGCTTGCCTTATTACCTATGATCAATTGTATAAACAGTTCTCCAAATGATATATAAACTTCCCACACAAACACTTAATGTTAAATCCCTCCATATCTAATGTCTATAAATTCCAGATTTTTATTTGTAAAGCCATCTTCAGAATGGACTTTTCTGTCGCACAAGATTGCCCCTTTTCAATAAATCAATAGCCCAAATTGGACTCAGTACACTCATCCACACATGATTCATATCAAAAAACGATCTAATTCAGTTCATAAGTTGTTCGATTAAACTTAATTACAAGTTAAACAAACAACTCGCTTTTCAAACTTCAGAACGTCCCACTGATATTCTATAAATTGCAGACAAAATAATTTCAAACACTATATTATTGTGCTGTATTCAGATTTCGTTGTTTTCAAGTATTTTACAAAACATAGCTCCAAAAATGTATGACGCCATAGAAGAATCATGATTCACAATGGAAGACAGACCACGAATCACAGACATAAATTGATTCCAAAGCAAAAGACACATGCTACTAAAAATATAATGGCAAGTCAACAACAATTGATACAACCATCTGGTAGTGGCATTAAAGATCAACACCGAACATTGTGCCCCTTAACAATTACCGAGCTATATGTTATATAACAAAACATCTGGTTTTCCCTTTGGAAATTCTTTGATAAAGTTTGGATGTAATATGGACGCCCACCATCCAAATATACAATTCATAAATGCCAACGGCACTTGATTCGCAGAAGCAACAAGACAGCATCTTGGTAAATATATAATCACCATAAAAAAAATTAAGAAAAAACATTGAGCACAACACATGCTACAACTTAAAATGCAGAAATAGCCAGCAATACATAAAACAAAATAAGAACGCTCATATAGTTACAGCAAAGCATAAAAGACGAACGTAGTATGTAAGCAGGGTATAAGTAACAGGAAGCTCACTAGAAGTAGAGCAACCAGTGTCGCAAGACCTGTTCTTCCCTCTCTGCCATTCTAACGAGATGCCCAGCCACCGACATCAAGACTGAGCATCAGATACCAATGGCATATAAAACATCGAACGATCATTCCAACTTGAAAAAAACTCGCAGTCTCAGCCGAAAGATGGTGATATTTGGTGAGTTAATCACAGAAAACTCAGCACTTAATTGTACCTTCATCACCGACTGCAAATCAAATTCATCACTTTCTCTAATTTCGCATAGAAAAACGTAATCTTTCTAAAAAAATTCAAATACCTAGGAAGTAAAATGAACGAAACTTCATCACTAAGTAGGGAGATCAGATGGTAGTGCATGTATTGTGATGATTCATCATCTGGAGTGCAGAAAGAAACTATGGATTTGGCATCATCAATTCTCCCGTTTAATATAAAATCCCAAAAAACCAAAAGCGAAAAAGATTAAAATTTTTAAGGACGGGTAGAGAGATCTGAGGAAGGAATCAGATAAAAATGTCGATCACCATCATCCGTTTCGGAAAACAAAACGGATCGTAAGACTGGGGCGACATAAACCTATCATCACGTTCCTACAGAATTCAATTCTGCCGCTCAAGAAAACAGAGAAAAGAAATCGAAGATAAGACGAACAATCAGAGAAGAAGAAGAGGAGGAGGAGGAGGGGACGAAATCTGCGTAGGGTTGAGGCGTTCGGTCAAGGTTGGGAAGCGGCGGGGTTTTAAAGAGGGAGATTAGGGTTTCAGGACGTTGCGGCGGCTCGTGAAACGGGTCCGTGAGAAACGGCTGTGTAACGCGGTCTTCTCTCCGTTATCAGCGATATAACGGGATGCCGGTTGAGCGGGTTCGATTGCGGATCCGGATCCGGATCCGGATCCTAACAATAGACTTGTAATTGTAATTCACGAAATTGATTGAATCTCAAGCACAAAGTTCAGTGTTATGTATCAATCTGGCAAGTATGTTCCAAATTATCTTTAAGTTTTTGAACATTCCTAACGAAAAAAGACTCAAGGTTTTGGATTTTTTCTTAAAGTTCCGATCATTTATATATTTTTCAAAGAGATCTTCCATTTATAAAAAAGATCAAAACATCCTTTTTGATCTTTTTATAACCTAAGACATTCCTAGTAAAAAGTAAGACTTATCATCCTTTATCTTAAAATATATCAAAATATTTTTAATTTTAATTCAAAATTCACTTAAGAACTCTTAAATAAACTATTTTATGAAACCTTAATACGGATAATAAAGTTTATAATTAATATTTATGAGGATTAGAATTAATTCATTGCATCATTGGATCTGCCAATATAAAAGGTTCCCAACAATGAATATTCATCTACGCAATCCCAATTGCTAAAACAAACATCCCTGCTGCAGTACTAAAATCCATCCTCTAAATATAGATTCCGATGGTCTAAGATTCTGAATCCATGAATGGATAAACATATATAATTTCTCTTTTAAATCTAAAACTTAATCAATATCTAAATCTAGAAATCTGAATCCAAATCTGTCCTAGATACTATGCAATTCATTTTACACTTACATAGAACATACAAAAAGACCTAATGATTCATTCGACAAAGCTCATGGTTGCAACCACTATACATGCATAATGATCTGTCATAAGCGAAGCAAGAGACATCCAAGTCAAGATTCCACACCGATCAATGATTTTTATCTCTCTGGCCGAAGTTGCAATTTCAAACCAAGATTCCCATGCTGATCCATGAAGGTTAACACTGGCAGAAGCTACAATTTCAAACCAATCATTAGGACAGAAAACATCTCACACTATATACAAATCTAATTATTAACGAATATAACAATATACAGTACCGTCACACCACCAATCTGCCATCTGGGCTTCTTAAACAGTCCCACACAAAAAGGAGAAGTAAAAGAATCCTTATGTTTTATGTCAAGAAATGTCTTAAAACAGATTCTTTGTTACAAACATGCAAGCAGAGTATACTTGGATGGTCGCCATGGAGACATCATCAACATGTGCAGCATTGAGATCTATCAAACTTGCTTAGTAAATACTGGTTGCTATGACCTGAGGGATTGACACCTAAAAAATGTCCATGCAAAAAAATGGAAATGGGATCCTCAAGATAAAGTGCAGATTTGGAAGAATGACTTGTAACTTGTAGAAGAAACGGACTGTGGATCATGATGAGCGCTACAAGTTAAAACATATTCATTCATCAAAGACCGTGTTCGCCTATCGAAAGACTACAATATCAACATGCTAGGAGACAGCGCGGTTAATAACAGTGATAGTACATATTTTTATGGATAGAGCTCAATAACAACAAGCATGTTACATACACATTTGCAGATGACAGCGCAGTTCACCATTAGCAGCAGTATCATGAGTGCATTGCAGGAGATGAGTTACCATAACGATGGAGTGGAAGAGTCGACAAGTTCTCATCTGGTTCTCAAGACAATGTCTTACTCTTCCAGTTCACCAAAACTCGACATAGAGCCTGAAAGTTTTACGAGTACATCAGTCACTTATGCAAATCAATCTATAATGTGAAATCTAAGAGATGACATATACACAGAATTAAGATTGCTAACATAAGCCCTAATACTACAAAATAGCATAGCTCTTCTGAACATGACATATACGGTAAATAATTACTTAGAACCAGAGACAATTACTTATGCAGGGTAGATAGTCGATTAACCGTTGTACTATAAGCATTAAGAAAACCTAAAGATGTGGCAGCAAGCCTTTGCTGCTAACAAACACAAAATCAATACCGTATTTAAGTTTTGTTGAGAACTTTTGGTAACAACAACATAATTTTAATTTGGAACCCTAGCTTGCACCCAACTCTTACACTTACATAAACAAAAATGCAACTAGTCGAAAAGGTTAAATCCTCAGAATGAGCATGATAACCAAACAATATCTGAAGTTTCACAAGGTATACTTCGCAGCACCTCTTCTTAGATTTCAGAATGAATTCATCTCGAGGCTGTAAGTCCTCCTCTTCACAAGCATCCTGGCTGCCGACCTGTATGGCTCTTCAAAGGCATTTGAGATCCAGCACCTGTCCGAGGACCCAACAGGACCACCACAATCCCCAACAATGGCAGCGTCCCTATCCTTTTCCTCGCTTGGCCGGACAGCCACCAGTGTCGCTCCCTTCAGTACCACCCCACCAGGAAGCTCCAGATGGGGTGCATACCATAGCCGGATGCTGAGAGCTGGCACTAGGGTTCTCTGTGAGCTCCCTGAAGCGGACACTGGCTTCACCCGGAACTCATGCAGCTGCTCGTGATTCATTGTCAGCACTCCCTGCCCATCCACGTCGGTGAGCTCTAAGCTCTCCAGAGTCTCGTGATCGGCGATGATCGGCTGGAGGAGGTAATGCCTCGCTGATGCAGCAATCAGGGAGCTGATCGTCCAGAACACCCTGAGCTTCAAGTTGCCGTTGGTGTAGAACGATTCCGGGATGACCCCGCTGTCATCATCTCCACAAGCGTCCTGGAAGCAAGGTTTGGGGTCGAGGCTCGAAGGTTTGGTCGGTGAGACCGAAGACGACGGGACGACGGAGGCTGCACCGAGAATGACGCAGCTGTCGAGTGACGACCCGAACTCAGCCTTCCACTTCAAGAGGATGCCATCGTCGACCCCGAGCTCACCGGCGGGGAGCTCGATTCGTAGGCGGCGGATCTCCTTAAAGTTCTTCAGGACCTCGGCCGGTGAGTGGTGGGAGACCTCAGACGAGGAGGAAGAGGGCGAATACCTCCGGCTGGAGGTGACGGCCGAAGATGGGCCCAGTATCTGACCGAGGGCCTGCAAGGGCTTCACGAGACCACCGAGAACCACGCGAGCGAGGTGAGAGAAGACGCCGCGGGCCTTGTCCCCGCCGGGAGAGGACGGCGAGGGGCCGTCGGAAATGACGCAGTCCACGCGGACGAGGACGGAGTCGACGAGGGGGACGAGGTCGTGGAAGCGGCGGGTGACGACGCAGCACCGCCCCAGATCCTTGACGTCGCCGATCAAGTTGAACACGGTGAGCACCAGGGAGTCCGGCAGTTGGTCGAAGAAGTCGATCCCCTCCGCTGCAACCTCCTCCTCCTCCTCCTCCTCCACCGCCGGATCACGGAGCCACGACCGCGATCCGGCGGGATCGGCAGCTGCGCCGCCGGATGGCGGCGACATCGGATCGGAACCCTTATGATCGAGAGAGATCGAGGCCGTAAATGCGATTGCTGGAAATGGGATCCCCAACCCCAGCACCTAAAAAGGCGCCATTTTTAGGAATCGGATGGAAATGGAGAGGAGAGGAGAGAAACCCGTCCTCCGAAGCCCCCTGATCCTAAATCTAACCCTAACCGAAGGAAATGGGAGGATTAGCGACACGAAATTTAAGGTGCGGTGGAGAAACAGAGGCCGAGTGGTGAAGAGAAGAGAGGCCTTCGCCCAATGCCGGTCGAGACGAGAGAGAGAGGGAAGACGGATGCGAGGCAGAGTCACAAACCCTAAAACCAAACTTCATTTTGTATAAGATTTATTTTGTATTTTAATATGTTATACTAATGTATAATAGTGTTTTAAGGCAAAGGGACGAGAGAGGAGACGAGATGAGAAGTTCTCTTTGCTTTCCCAATTCGTTCGATTACGTATTTATTTATTTAATTTTTTAGAATAATTTATTTTTAAATTTTTTTAACTTTATTTTTTTATAATTATTTATAAATTTCTCTCTTAATTATTTATAATTTTATTTTAATTTTTTTAATATTTTTTTTGAAGGATAATATCGAGGGAACGATGAGTAGAAAGAAGGGGGGGGTCGAGGGGCGAGCGATGATGAATAGAGATATTGACGTCGATTTAGAGTATAATTATCGATGACGGTAGGGAGTACAAGGTTTTGAAAAAAATAAATCAATAATACTTGGGTTATAGTAGTAAAATAATATTTTTATTATTTATAATGATAGTTAATAACAAAGGTTATCAATAATAATAAAAAGATTATGAATAATAAACTTCTTATTTTATAATAATCTTTCAATGATATTTTAGCTAAAAATGCTTATACTATTGGACCTCCTAATTAGTTTTTATCTAGGTACACTCATTTTTTGTTACTTCAATAAAAATACCCTCTAGCAATCGCTTCGATTGCCAATGCCTTTGTCGACTAAGAGTAACGCCACCCATTATCTCCGCCACCTCTTCCCTTCCAAATTTTCTTTCTCCTCCCTCCTTCTGTTATTGTATGTCCTCTATTGTCCATCACCTCCTCCCTTCTCCCTTTTTATTATTGAGCTCTACTATAACTTTTAGAAGGTGATCTCCGACGAGATCCTCCGCGGATTGTCTATTAACACCCCATATGATGAGGGTGGCATAGCTAACTCAATGACCCACAAGTTGAACTCATCCCCATTCTATATTTTTATCGGGCTACGTTAACATTATTGTCATTAATGATGTGGTTGTAAACTCATGATCCAAGTGACGTAATACAAGAAAGCTCAATAAAAAGGAGATGAGCAGATAGACAATGGGGATGGGTGGGTGGCAGGAGATGACAACTAGAGTAAGGGATAGAGGTGGTAGAGGCGACAACAACGATTGAGGTGATTAGTGAAAAATATTCATATTAGATTGACGTAAAAGGAGCACCCCAAGTAAAAACCAATTAGAGAGATATCATTGGGTAAAAATTAGTGGTAGGGGGTTTTTCTAAGTAAAATATCAATCATTCAAAAAAAAAAATTAATATATTTATTTTAATTTCTATGATTCGTGTTAAAGCTATGAAACACTACTTCCAATTATTTTTCTTGTACTATAATCAACTTAGCATCAATTCTTTAGACCTTTAGATCCGAGTCAAGTTGACATATACCTTAAGGAATGACGTGAAGATAATAACATTATGTGTATATTACTTTTAGTTCTATATAAAATGATTGTTGAAATAAAAATATCCTAAAAAATTAATATACTCAAATATTCCAATCAGATTTAATTTGAGGAACTAATAGGTACAAGTTAATAGGACATATTTTGATATTGTCCGCTAAGACACAGTTAGCAGACATATCAACGCGGACGTGGAACCTCGGGATCTAGACGGAGTGCCGTGTTAGACGTGTCATCTCATACTCAAAACGACAACCACACTCTCTCGTGCTATCAGAGCAGTACGAGAAGGCGCTGTACCATCGGAGGCCACTCCGGAAAGCTCGGAACGACGTCGTGCGATGCTATCCCGCATAGACCAGTCGGCAGCCATCCAAAGGTATGAACGCAATCACTCGAGAAGTTGGTCGCCGTAGGCAGATCATATATGGTCAACCCTTGGGCGCAAGCATAAAAGCCCCCTTGACCAACATCTGAGGGGTGATGATCGTTTGACAGAAATCCATTCGATACCAATTTAATCTTTGGAGAGGCCGAGTTGAGAAACCCCTCTCCTCTCAACCTAGGCATGTGTGTAAGAGCCTGGCTACGATGAAATAGACAACGGGCCCGCTAGAGAGCTGCGTCCGAAGCCAACCCCGAGCTCAGCCCGACCCTACGGAGGTCTATTCATCGAGACGACCATAAATATCGATAATCTGACCAAGCCATGCTGACACCTCGATCATGGCTAGGTAAGTTTGTTAACACAAGTCATGCAGATTTATGAAAAACAAAAAAAACAAAAATCAACCAAATCACTTGGTTTATTTATTAGAAAATTTCTTAAAAAATATTCTAGTTCATAGTTTATTAGGAAATTACAACACCAACAATTTTGCCATTCTCACCCCCAAGGCTATTACATTGCACGAGTCCCAAGTGTCACTTATATTTTTCCTAATGAATCTCTAATTTCTAATATTAATTTTAATTCAGAGGCTAACAATGACCCTCTACCTAATGTGCACCATATCTATTTGTCAACCCTCCAAATGAATAAGAGTCAACTGATACGGATGGACTGGGACGTTGACAATGGCTCCTCACTTGCTCCATTATGTGATTTTGATTTGAATCCAACTAAGTGTACCATGATATTTATTGTCATATTATTGCAAACAAATTTGTCAAACGAATAATACGAAAAGAAATTAATAAAACATATTACTTAGGGGGACATTCGATAATCTATATTATATTTTATTACCTTTTTTTTTTCACGGGTCCAAATTTTATGATCAGGAATAAAAAATAAGCTCAGTTTTTAAAAGTAATTATAAATTATATCGTGTAATTAATTATTTTAATTATTTTTAACGAACTTTATATTTTTAAAGATTATACTAAAATGTTTATATTTATAAAAGGAAAATATTTAATTTCGTTGTTCTAATATAAATTTTTTCCATGTTTGGTGTTTGACGGAAAGATCAGACGGGCGAGAACCCTTCAGCCTTGTCCATCAATACAGGATCGACGGCTACGATGACAAGTCCTATCTCCAGCAAAGCCGACCCGCGTGAGGTCAACATCAATTACCCGTGGGCCCCACGTAGTACTAGATTCGTGGGGCCCGATGTCGATCGTGACTTAAGCCGATTGCGGAGACAGTCCCTTTCCCTGCCGAATCTTCCGACTGGCTTCTTTAAGCGACGTCAAGCTATTATTAAATATAGCCTAATTAAAGGCGACGGAGGGCGGCATTCCCTCGTCGCCTTCCAGGTAGAGGACGCGAGAGACGCGAGAGAGGTATTGAAAAGAGCGAGGCGTGCCAACGGAGGGGGAAGGAAGGGAGAGAGAGAGAGAGAGAGACCGGGGAGAAGGGTCTTCCGGCGCCATCAAGTCCTTGGAGTAGCTCTTCCTTATCGCGGTCGCCATGGGATCCAATCCTCCACCACCAGGTTTTTGTCATCCTCCACCTCTCTTCTTCGGTTCGAGCTTTCTTTCTGGGTTCCTTCCTATCTGAAAACTAGATAATAATTCGGCATTCGTCTCTTCTTTATGTATTTAGTGTTGCTTATGACGGCAGAGTCTTGATTAGGGTTTTGTACCCTCGGTTGATTCGTCGCGATTCGTCTCCTTCTCATCGTTTTCTTTCAGACTGGCCATTCCAATCCGTGAATCGCGAGAAGATAGCTTTTGTTTTTGTTTTTCCTCATGTATCTGATAGATTTTGATCGGGGGTATGTCGGTTGATGATTCAAGAAGAGCTAAATTTGGTGAATTTGGGCCCTTTGAATTTATTGAAAGCTGATTTCATGATGGATTTTTCGCCCCCTGATTCTCTCATGATAATCATACATCGCAAGGAAGAACTGTTTCGTAAAGATGATCGTCGTTTTTCTGGAAAAATCATATGACTTTGCCGATGATTAATTGATAGCAGTTGTGCTCTTGTTTCTATCTCTGGATGGAAAGTTCCATTCTCATCCTTCCTTGTGTGCAGCATGAGCTAATTTTTTAGTAAGCACCCACTGCAAGGGTCAGCCTCTACCTGTCCACAAAAGACCAGTGCACATAAAAGAAAATATTAGAAAGACAAACGCGTTTAATATGCCTTCGTCTGAACGAAAGGACAAGGAAACCGGTATCACAAGCAACAGAAATCGACTAACTTTTATTAGACAAAAAAAGACTTGCAAACGGGCCACATAGTGACACACAAAGGGGTTCGGAAGTCAGGTGTAGGTTCAATATTTACCTAGCATTTTTGTTGAACAAAAAACACATAACCAAAGTATTATCCGGATTAGTGTCATCCATGGGGTTCTAGGATGCTGAGACATTTGTGACTGCTGACATTCTTTAAATAGTTCCCGAATTGTTTTCAAAATTCTCAAATTTTGCATTGTTTATGATCTGCTCCTCTTTCATGGCATTTCTGAATGATTTTGTATGAATAGAGTCTTTTGCATTTGATCCTTTCCTTATCTCTAACCGGCATAAGTTTTGTTTATGAAGTGGCCCTGTTTAGTTTTATATTTTATGCAGATAGGGACTCAAAAATTGTGGAATGTAGGGAAGAATAAAAAAAGTGAGAGACTGGATCTACATTACACAATAAAATTAAGAATCAGGTTCCTCTTATTGAGAAATGACAAGGATTTAGTCATGGTTATAAAATTAGTCATTTGTAGTCAAACTTAAGTCAGCAATGTGATCTTCATGTTCCTTTAATCCACTAAACTTTATTCTGTCTTAAGCTGATGAAAATCCTCTATGCTTTATGCTTGTACACTCAGGAGTTTCTGTAGTTCATGAACAACAAAATTGACATGTTTGTTATTGACATAATGTATATCTATATGAACTGACCATTTTACAAGTCTGACCTTACTACATGGGATGAAGATTTTCACCCGCAATGGAACTGTAGCTCTTGGTTGTCATTTGTGGCGACATTGTATTCCTAGAATGTGCTTATTGCCATAGAAATTCTTCAAAATGACCTACTTTCTTCTCTCTTATTTGGATTATCCATGGTTTCAATAGCACATGGTTGTATTGCTTCAGGTAATGCTCCACCATCGAAACCATGGGAGCGAGCTGGGACATCATCTGGTCCTGTACCATTCAGACCCCAATCTTCTGGCAGGACAAGTGAGGTTGTGGAAGCATCTGGAACTGCAAAACCTGGGGAGGTTGTTACAGGTTCTGAAAGAAATGCCACTGTTAATAGAAATACTCTTGGCAGGCCTTTACCTCCAAGGCCTTGGCAGCAGAACTATGGAACCAGCCATGGAGGTAATTGTTTGTTTATTTGTGTTCTAGCTCACAACTGTTTTGATGTGATCTAGGTTTTGAAGCCTCATGCTGTCATACAGGTTATGGCTCAAATTTGAACTACAATTCAGGGTATGGGTCTGGTGTCTATGGTTCATATGGTGGACTTGGTGGTTTGTACAGTGGTGGGTTTTATGGTAATAGCATGTATACAGGGAATGGTGGGATTTATGGAGGTTCTGGGATGTATGGAGGTAGCATGGACAATGGAGGATATGGTGGTTCCTTAGGCGGTTATGGGATCGGCATGGGTGGGCCTTTTGGCAACCAAGATCCAGATGATCCATATGGCCCTCCATCACCACCAGGCTTCTGGATATCCTTAATTCGGGTGGTAAGACATACTTGTTGCTTAAGTTGTCTAATCACTTGCAAATTATTTCCTTTCTCACATTTGCCCTTCTAATTCTTTGTGCATGTTTTTGTGCTGTTAATTGTTGTTGCACATGTATCTGTTTCTAACTTTCTATACTTGCAAAGTCGAAAATTTAACTGTGGTTTTGATGATGTCATTTTGTTTTCATCATTTTCATTGGCAGCCACGTGATATATCCTGTTTCTTTCTATGATGATGGTTTTCTATGGACAATCATCCCTCTTTCTTTAACACATGATGCCCTAGTTGCATGTTTCAGTTAAGATTGTACCATTACAGTATCATGTTGTTGAGATTTCTGTAACTTCTTGCCATCTTGACCATTTTCATCGATGTCCCTTTTTTGTTTATTGCATGAATTATGTATACTGTATAATCTTTACAAGAACTCCATTTCTTTCTTCATTGTTTTGGCTTTATGCCAAGTTTGGCACAAAATATTCACATGCAGATCATATTGGCATGTTGCAACTTGTATCGACCAGTTTGACTAACGACTGATGCCAAACCATATAACTCATTATCAATCTTATTTTTATAGTACAACAAAGGACTTTTATTGAACCATATTAGCTCAGTATCGGTCCGCATTTATCCTTCTATTATGTTTTTAGTGATACTAGTTTTTATAAGTTGGTATGTCTTGGGTACTATGCTAGTACTATTTTGGTCTGATAAGATGTTGAAATCAATATTAAATCGATATTTTAAACCTTGATTTGCCATTACTTATTTCCTAATGTTGATTGTAGATGCACGGTGTTGTGAACTTCTTTGGTCATATTTCAATGCTCATGGACCAGAACACACATGCATTTCACATGCTCATGACGGCTCTCCTGCAGGTGTTCTCATGATTATCTTTTATCCTTGAACATTTTTTCATGGCTTCCCTGAGATTTGCATTGACTTATATGCTATCATTTTCCTTTCAGCTATTTGATCGTTCTGGAGTATTATATGGTGAACTTGCAAGATTTGTGTTGAGGATACTGGGGATAAGAATGAGACGCAGAAAACAGCAGCAACTGCGATCTGGTGAAGGCCTTGGCAATGATGGGCATGGACAAAGATTCATTGAAGGTCCAAAAGATCCTTCTGGGTCATGGGACTGTGTCTGGAGTGATGATGTCAAGGGAGCCCATTAAAGAGACACATGAAGTTGACAGAAGATGCTTCCTTTGTCAATCCTTTTGACGATATCAAGAAAATGGCGAAGAGACATACGTCAAACAGAACCAAATGTAAGGTATATGCAAGAGTCTAGCTTCGATCTAGGTCAGTAAGAGGATGCTTGGATAGTTATTTGTGCTCTTTTCTCGACTCTTACGTGGGTCGTCGAAGACGGACATTGTCCTTGTGACAAGTGAAATGAAACAGTGGATAGTGTTATCACAGTGATCATTTTCTTGGGTGAATTCTCGGAGAAGTTTTTATAAATTTTTGTAAAGTATTTGAATTTTTAAATATTTTTGAAAAGAGTTTTTTTTCATAATTGATGATTTTATCATTGGTCGCCTTTGTCGTTGGTTGCCTTCATAGACCACGTCAGTTTTGTGCATTGGCTGACAAGTTAGCGATGCCAACCCTACTCATATTGACTTCATTTATCACCCGTAAGCTCCCTTCATCATCAATCGTGGATGAGGAATGAGGGGGCATGACCTATGCGTTCTCATCGTCGCTCGCAGCCTTCGTTGTCACTCGTAAGCCTCCACGTTATTGCCCATGGGCCTTCTCTCATCGTCAATCATGAGCGAGGAAGATGAGTAGGTAGGCCCATGTGCGGAGGCAACCAAGGGCTCTCGTCGTCGTCCTTGGTAGAGGGGATGAAAAGTAAGGTGATAGTGCAGAGACGAGGCGATAATAGGTTCGACGTAAAAATGATATTTTCATAAAAGAAATGATGTCCGGTAAGAATTTTGGAATGTTAAAATGAAACTTATTTAAAAACTTAAGAATTTTTTTTTGACAATTCATCATTTTCTTTTTGTCAACAGGGATACACGTTATAACCCAGCCAATGATCTAATTTCTCATGACTTTTAACGTACGAAAATATAAAGTTTCATGATAATATTGGATTGTCTTAATAATTGTTGTATGTTGTGCCTCTGCTGAAACTCATTTACTCAAGGGAGAAGAAGTCCTAGAGAAACTTTCTATTAGAATCATACTGCCTTTATTAACCTTTGACGACATCCTTTTAAGGATAGTTGGTGACAATTTATTACATCCAATATCTTTTTCATCATTTATCTTTTATAAAAAAATTATAAGAAAAATCTGTTACTCCCTTGAGGTGATTTGGGTATTAAAGGGACTCCCATTAGAGACAATCTTAATGAGTCCTAACAGTTGTCCGCATCTTAATCCACCTCAATTAATCTCCCAAGTTTTTCCTCCATCGTTTAGTTAAGAGGCCCAATGATCATTCTTGTAAATGCTCATCTCCCTTCTTTTTCTCATCTTTTTGCACCAAATAGTATTTCCCATCTGTGTCATATATGAACAAAAATAGTACTATCAGAATCTTATAGTGACTTGCCAACCTTCTTAACGAATGAATGAGCCGCTCGAAATCTAAATAAAAAATAAAAAATTATCGGATGAGATTTGAAGCCTCGGATGAGGTTTCATACTCTCATCTTTGATAAACAAATACAATAAATCATCATTAAATTAATATATTAAGTATAAAAATTTATCGGATGAGATTTCAAATAATTATCTTTTCTTGGCTTATTGGTCTTATTTGGGCACGCACAATGGAGGAGGGGGGTGAGGTAATTGAGGAGGAGGAGAAAGTTACCGGGATAGCTCTTTTGGACATGCAATATTCCATGACAGACTCTTGCGACTCCGATACCTCCAAATCCATGGCTGCTTGTATCTCTTCCGGTGCAAAAAGGTGACCCCAAGCCACTCGAGCAAATCTACAAAAGATTCGTGGTCTCCCAAGTCCCATATCCGCAAGTACACCAATAGTGATTGCCATCTCTCTCGGGGGCCACAGAGACTTGACAAACGACTGCAGGAAAGACACTGTTGAGGAGCCGCAGAAACCAGTTTGTATTTAGCAACAACATAGTTCCTCCAGTACACCATGCAGGCTCCACAAGTAGGTAAGTTTCTGTGTCTTGTTCATTGTCCTCTTCATCCACAGAGCCACTGATACTTGGTCTGCACTTTGATGACTGCAGCTCGGTGAAAGAGTCACGTTCAGTCATTGCTACTTCTCTCTGGTTTTCTACCTCCTCCATGTTCGCCTTGTGTCTTCTTTCATCACAGTGGGTGACTGAAACATGCAGTAGTAATCAACAACACTGTTTTCCTGCATTCTGTCTCGGCAAATGCTAACTTGGCAGTCTTATTGTAGTCGTTTCTCATTATCCTAAAATTCTGGCATGATTGTTCCATCATTGATGAAGATATACATTCTACACCATCACATACTCCTCAGCATACATATGCAGTGTGTATGATGAGAGGCAAGACTTTTCAGAGTAGGGTGTTGAATGATGTTCCAGCCGGCAAAATGTACAAGCTCATATATCAACGTCCCACCACATCACGTGCAGTGTCTTCTCATGCAAACCCTTCTCCTGCCGCAAGCAACACTTATAATGCCCGGACTCATGGAAAGACAAAGCACAACTATTCAGTACGAACAACAGAACCTTACACGAGCAAAAGGCACCGAAAAGGAAAATAAGCTACAACGAAAGCTTTTCTAGTGCTGGGAAATTCCAGTTCCAGACTTATATAGACTATAGCAGTGATCTAGAGCCTCAAGGAGAGATCAACGTTGGCCATGTCTTCACCGCCACCAGCGGCTGAAGCAAAACCTACAGTACTGCCGTCGGAATGACCTAGAAAGTCCAGTAGCAGTGCCTGATGAGCTTGGTGGGGGCCTCTGTGCCTACTGCTGGAGGAGGAGGGGCATCCGGTAGCGTATACTGCCCTCCTGCTGCTTACAGTCCATGGGACAGCGTAGGACCTGAAGCTCTCCAAGTGATCACCACGCGGTGCGGCGGAGAACCGAGATGGATCCGAGTTGTGATCATCAGCAGCGTCGTTCTTAGGCGGAAGATAGGTTTGGGAGGTGCAGCCGACGCTTCTCTCTTTCTTGTGCGCGTTCTGATGTCCTCCGAGTGCCTGCGACTTGAGGAACTTCTTGTTGCAGAAGAGGCAAGGGAAGAGCCTCACGTCCCTCGTGCCGTGAGTGCTGGAGAATGGATCGGAGGAAGCTAAGCCGAGGGAAAGGTCGAGGGTCGGAGGCGGTAGCTGAGGTGAACCTTGACGAGAAGAATCCATCTCATCCTCACTGCTCTTGCTCTTGCTCTTGCACTTGCACTTGCTTCGCCAGCAGCCATCAACCGGTGTTGTAATATCTGCCTGCGAGAGAAGACAATAATGGTACAAAAAAGCACGCGTTCGAGCAATGACAGAAAGGCACCGCTTCTGTTTCCCCATATGTCACACATGGCTGAGCGATGGTCGGCACCTCATGTCATGATTAGCCTCTAAGTGGATCAAACTATTGCTTTTCATACGAAAGTTGTTGATAGATCTGAGGAAACCGACAAGAAAACGCAAGCCCATGCAGACCCCCAAGCATAGATCGGAATAAGATCTCACCAAGCACAAAGAAGAGCTGTCTTCCTTGCATTGGAACAAAGAAAATAAAAAAGTGTCCCTAACCCTGGCTGCAGTAGACTACCCTTCAACCTCAGTCGTATGATTGTATTGCAGAAAACCTAGGCTCCTGTATCATTCTGGTCATCAAACAAACATTTGCAGCTATGGATTTGTGGTTCTTGTGAGGGTCTATTTGGTCAGACGTGCTGCTGCGTACAAGACATGCACACAGCTCAAGGTAGGAAATGGCATTCTGGCTGGTTGTGCTGTAACTTTTGTGTTCTCACTATTACATGTCTGGACAACTCCAGATCTTACTTTTGGACTATTACCATAGTGTGTTAGATTGCCACGGAGGGAATCAAATGAATTAGAAGTCATTCCTACCTACCTGTTCATGCTCAGCCAAAAATGTTGTCAATCCATCAAACTGTAGCACTTGGCATGATTCAGCTATGGCATCTGCAGTTCTGCCCTTCACTATGTCATTGACTTGCAACACCAGATGCGAACAATGTGTTAAGTACAAGTTACTCAAAGGCACCCGCTTTTGAGTAACCTAGCTTGACAACAGCTTCTAAAAGCTTTTGGAGTCAGTAACTCTTGATGATACAACTTCATCTATCTCCCACCTTCATTGTTGACATAAGCACCTAAAGTCTGCATCATCGACAGAAAAAGGAAATATATAAGAGTCAGTACCAACAACCATGAAGAAGAACCTTCTCACAACATAGTGAAGTGAATTAAACTTTTAATACACAGTTATAAACAAAACACACAGAAAGAGTATGGTAGTCATGCTAGATTGGGTTGGAAAGGTTGTTCAAACTGTGTAGAACATGCTCTTTATCATTTATGGACTTGTGATACTCCCCATGGAAAACTTAGTCTTGTCAGTCGATAGACCTTTCCCAGATCTAATGTAACTTCGAAGGGCGAAGTTGTGGCTGCATGAGCTTTAACGCTAATGTTCGCAATCAATCTCACATGACTGACAGGCATCAACATCTGTATGAGATGTCAATAATATGGCGAACCAGCCCTCAAAAATGAACCTAGAAGAGCAGATCCAAAGATTGTAATGGAAGGCTCATTAGGTTACTAAACATACTCCATTCTTCTTCTTGTCTTGTAATAATTCGATAAAGAATAAAAAATCTAAAAAGGAGGAAAGAGATGATCATATCAGTGATAGACTATTGTATGGGCACTTGAGACGCAGAGCAAAGTGATGAAGGGAGAAGCCACACTATTTGTAGAACTTTAGTCCAACAGAACAATCAACAGAATCAATAGTAATAAAAATACAATCCTATGAATAGTTGGCCAACATCCATGAAGAGATAACTAAGATTACCATGAGAAAATAAAATAATAGTAGAAGAAAGATAACAGTCTCTTAGGTTAATCCAAGCTCAAGCTCAAAGTCATTTGTAAAGATTTCTTTCTTTCTTTCTTAAGACCTACTAAGGGACGAAAAATGTAACATACATATGATATTTATAAAGCAAGATATTAATTTGAAGCAAACAAATGACTTTGGAGTTCTTGGTATCTTACTCTTGGACTGTTTGGACATGTCCCTACCTAGCTCTATCGAGATATGAGATTGCATGGCTAGATCTAGTGCAAGCATAATTAGCAAAAATGAGATCTAACTAATATCCTCAGGATCAATAGATCACAGGATTCGTATCTGAATCACACTACCCCAATACAAGCGAGTCAGATTCGGATTTTGACTATGATTGAGGGGGTCAACTACAAGCGCGGTGACATATATCGTGACGACACAACATATATAACGGTTACGAAATATCATATGCGTTATTATATATCGGGCCCTAATCGTAACGATGCAGACCAAACCAGCGACCAATAAGAAACGGCAGAAGGAATAAGACGGTCGGCGCCTCGCTCTTCCCCAACATTTCCCCCCCGTTACGAACTGCGATATCGTCTCCCTCGCACGCAACCCGGCACCGTTCCTGGAATGCCGAACCGAAGCGGCGAGATAAGTTTTCCGTAGCAGAGTATCGTCCGATTCGCCGGGCCGGTATCGCCCCGATCAAAGGGAGACCGGATGGTGGACGGCGTCGGCGAGAGATCGGTCTGCTGACTTCGTTCCGATCCATCTCGCGTCTTGGTAAGTTTCCCTTGGTTTGGAGGATGATTGATCGAACAAAGATGATGCCCATGGACCTCTCTGTTTCTTTTGTACTCTTTTTTGGATGCTGATGTAAAAAAGATTGGATCTTTCACCTTTCACATCTATTTTCTGTGGATTGTTTTCTGATACCAAATACTTGAATATTTTTCACCTTCTTTTTCTGTTGGTTACTTGCTGATACTAACTAATGTTCTTAATTCCGTTCGTTGGTTCTAGTGTTCTAATTCACTAATGTCTGAAGATCATCGAGAAGTAAAAGATTCTTCTTTTGACCCTACAGATTTGATCGGAATGAGAATAACTCTTTAGGTACAATCGTCGTTTTTTAATATAGCCATCATATTATTATAGCCGTTTCTCAATTGAAACATGAACGTGCAGATAATGTTGAACCCTAGATTGCGTGTCATGAACTCAATGTGAGTGAAATTGGTGTGCGGCGCAAATGCATATACCAATTAGAATGGTCGGTTCATCATGGACCAGTATTTGAATCCATGTGTATGACTATCCAGAATTGCAGTGGCAAGAAAAAGAATAAGGTAGAAAATATATCGATAAACTTGCTTGGTAGGTCGCATTGGCAATGTAAGGTGAAGTGAGTGCAAAGTGAAGAACTAAAAATATCATTTGATTGACGTCTAATTCAGTGTTTTTTTTGCTCTGACATGTTGAGTGTAAGATCATGTAACTGAGAATACTTGGGATTTGACTTATTTTGCATTTATGAAACTTTATGATGCTAAGTACATCAAATGGGCAATCAAGAAGGTACAATCAGATAGTTGGTTATTCAAGATGTTGTGCATATATTGCCTGAAAAGAGAAAAAACATGAGTTATGTGTTTGTGTACTAGCGCAGGACTCACACCCACTAAGACAAATGCCATGCATATCTAATGTGGCTAACTGGCTTTTAAGTGTTATTTTAATTGTTTTCTTTTGTCCTTTTTTCTCAATGCTTATATAATATTTCAATACAGGGCACAGATTAATACTATCTTCCAGGAGCGAAGAATCTGGTATTCTGAATTTTACAGTAGCAGAATGCCTCGTCCCTTAGACATAGGGTGGCAATATGGTACAATGATTGGGAATCACAGGCATCATGTGCAATGCAACTATTGCCACAGGATCATGATTGGAGGCATTACACGTTTCAAGAAACACTTGGCAAACAAAAAGGGAGAAATTAAGGGCTGTGAGGTTGCTCCTAAAGAAGTACGGGAAGTAATTAGGAAACATCTGGCTTCACTAAAGCCAAGGAGGCCAAACAAGAAAAGACGAAAGCCAGCAGATGGAAATTTTGTAGATCCTCTTTCTGTTAATTATAACATGGAACTGGATGCATCAGATCCAGATGCAAGACAGAAAATGTTGACATTTAATGAAGCAGAAACACACTGTATGATCTCCAGAACATTACTATTTCCTTTCTTCTTTTGGATATTGTGTCTACACGAAATTTGTGTATCACAAAGAAAAATTACTTCTCTCTTGACAACTTTGTCTTTGTACTTAATTTATTACCAGAATAGACCTTTACTTTTGTTTAAATTTGGTCATTTTAGATGTAGCAATTTCATTGAAGTTAATGAGCATGTTCAATTTAGAATATAGCTATTTCCTTTCTATGATTATGTTTGATCCATGTATGCTAAAAATTATCTGCTATTATGGTTCCATGTTATATGCTTAAGTAAAAAATTTAGCTGCAATATCAGGCTAGATAGGACAAATGATATACTCAGATAACTAATTTTCCAGCATCAAATAATAAGATCAGTGTTCTTGGTCTTTACCCTTAGGCAGCCCAATCTGCAGTCTGATTGACATCATTATTTTCTTACTATAAGATGTGTGTCAAAGAAAATGGACACATATCTTTAACTTCAGGCCTTCAGAGTGAAAGCCCAAAAAGGAAACAATAGAGGCAGAAAGGGTCATCATGAAGTTCAAATTTGAATGGTATGTTATCTTTATGGTATAGGCTTAAGGAATTTTCTCGGAAATCAATGAAAATTTGATTATAAAAGGTAAAATTAATCTTCTTTAAATTTTTTACTTTGTATATAAAATTTGTTACCATCGTCATGGATGTAGCACATAATTTAGACATTTCTCATCCTCGTAACGAGTTCTTTGGCTTTTATTTGCAATTATAAAGTGACTCTGTACCTATCTCCTACTTTTGTTGATAAATGTGTCTTTTATGGCAGTGATATCTAAGTCTCTTCTAGTTGGTTTTGTCATTTTTGTTGCTTTGATTTTTTTTTGTTTGTTGTTTTTAATTAAGATTAAACCTATGCTATGTTTGGATGGTTACTAGATTCTTGTTCTTGTTGGTCTTTTTCTCCCTTTTCTGGGGTTGCCTACAAGAAGTTGTAGAATCTAAGGTTTAAAATTTCGGTCTAGTGCCAACATTGATTGGATAACAGACTAGTATAGTACCAGACTATTAGTATGGACTGATGTATGATACTTGGTATAATTGACACTTAGCACAAATTGATATCATTTGTACGAGATAAAAAGTGGGAAAGAAGAGGAGAGGAGGAGGAAATGGAGGAGGAGAAGAGAAGGTAAATGAGTAAGGGGTGATTGTATTACTATATGGTTGTTGATGTTTTTAGGTAAGGTAAGATGTTTGCCACAAAAGAGATGGGACAAGCCTACAGGTTGTTAGAATCAGTACAACTTGTGTTCTTGTATAGGGTACCAATTTCAAGCACCTTCATGCCATTGCTAAAACTAAAAAAAATTAATATCGATAATACTGCATAATCACAAACTTAGTTGGTTTTGCCTAAGTCGTGTAGCACCCTAACGTGTCCGTTTGAAAGGGGTCAGCCTCTCCGAAACCTTTTATGATCCCTTAAGGACTTGCAAAAGAGAAGACGAGTTAGAGGAAGCGTTCAACTCGGGATCCTACAGGTAGACATTTCAGCAAACACTTGATAGACAATACAAATTATAAACATGGACTTCGTAACCTCTAAACGATCGTACGACAAAAGGTCCAAGGTGGTTTGCTATGGCCAAAAGTCCTCATAAGTGCTCACATGACATTGCTATAGAATAAGATATTGAATCAACCCTAGACAATACCCAAAGTCCTATCTAGCCATGTGCTGCTACCTGAGCAGCTCCAGGGTGCTGTACTGGTTGACACTCTGTACTACTCTGTGGAGATAGAAAACCTCCAAGATGGCTACCTGCATGGTGTGTTTTTGAACAGTTTTGCCTCTACGTGACAACTACACACAACTTGCATTTACAGGACTAAAATAGTAACAAAAGTTAATCAAAATGGGGCTGTCAAGCCTACTGCAAATCCTCTATATGCTGTGCTAAGAATGAATAAAACTGAAAGACACAAACATACACAAACATTACATCGAACACCCTGTGTATATATTTGTTCGTGACAGCATGGTGCAATCCAGTATTTATTGATAGATTGTGTATCACTGCTAAATGAAACTAGTAATAGTCTTAACATCTTGGTCACTAAGTCTGGTTCTGGAAATAGATTCCATGTCAATATAGAAGGAAAAGTGAGGCTTCTATAGTTGGAAATTTGGATTGATTTGTATGATCTAGCATAAATCTACATGGATCTTGGCCAAGTTTGTATGAATTTTGTTGGTTCCATCTTAGATCCTTACAAATCTTGACAGATTGGCCAAGAACCATGTGGATCTTTGCAAATCTGGCTTGGATCAATGTGAATATTGGCAGATCTGACCCAGATCAATGCGGATCTTGGTAGTTCCAGCCAAGATCTTCACGGATCCATGCAGAGTTTACTGGATCTATGGATCTTGTTGAGATTCACATGGATCCAGCCAGCTTTCAAGTCAATCTATGCTAGAAATGTGTACATCTGAACTCATTTGTGCAATAAATGCAAGGCTTTGAACTAAATGATGCATGAATCTAGAAAAATATGCATCAACCTAGTTAGGAAAATGAGAAAGTGAAAGAGAGGGTGAGAGCAAATGAGAAAAAAGAAAGGGGAGGGTTTGGTCGGGTTAGAGAAAAGGCATGTATAGCTCTCTGATGTCATATTTAAATATATAATCATCCAGATATCATAATTGAGGATCCTTTGTGTTGGAGGAACGTACATGGATAGACGTACAACATAGAAGAAGCCCTAAAGCTAACCTCAGCCACTATGCTATTTGACTCTTGCTGCAGTCAGGGTCTGTTTTGAGTCTTAAGTTTGCTTGACGTAAACCCAAATTGAGTTTGTTTTAGATTTAGTGTTTAGTTAAGAAATAATTACTTCTTTTTTAGAACATTAGTCCCACTCAACTTGTTGAACTTGTCCTGTACTTCTCATAATGATCAAACGTCAATTTCAAATGTGTTGTTTTTGAATATATCTAAGGTTGATACACAAGGCACACATGCCATTATTAATGAATACTCTCAGACTAGCCTGTGCCATTTAATTTTAGAGCACATACATGAACATATGCTGATATAGACAAACATACACAAATCTTGAACATACTTTTGCTTCTTGATATACATCAATAATAGATGTACATGCCCATACATAGGCATAGAAATACACTCAATATGTATCCAAATACATTCATGCTTAAAGACCCTGCTCATTTGTTCTTAATCCTTGATGTGTATATCCAATATTCTAGAAAGATATTACAATGTAGCTTTGCATGATATCGGTTTCTCATAGCTATATGCACATTTCATGATTTTCATTGAGTGAAGAATTAACTTTAATAAGGCTGACATTGTAAGTTCCATCTCTCAAACTAATCAAAAGTCTTTTGTTGATTGTCATTGATTATTCTTGCTGTTGATCTTTCCTGACGTTAAGATCATGTTAGCTGTTTCTGTTTTAATTGATTTTGTTGATAGTGATGAAGCACTCACTTAGGCAAATGAATTGATCATATATCTTCAGATGGTTTTGGTGGCTAATGCTTCAAATTTTGTTGCACATATGCAGACATTTTGCTACTCTTTCGTGACTGATTTTACTTGTTTATGTGATGTAGCTTCTAGGTCAGCAGACCAACAATTTGAGGTTGGAACAAGGGAATTTGTTGATGTGTTTGCATGTGTCCAGTACAAGGATGAGCAGGTATGTTGCTGAGAATGCGTTTGCAAGTGTCGGAGTGCAACAGAATTAATGTGTTTGTCTTCATATGCATGCTTTTGCTAATTTTTCTCACTCTTTTGTGATTCATGCAGGATTTTGATCCTTCTAGAGCAACTGACCTTGGATGGGCACATGGTGTCATGGTAAATGGGGACCGACAAAAAATACAGTGCAGATACTGCCATAAAATAATCTTAGGAGGTGGAATTTCTCGCCTTAAACAACATTTAGCTGGGGAAAGAGGCAATATAGCTCCATGTGAACAAGTACCTGATGATGTAAAAGCACAAATGCAACAGCATCTGGGCTTTAAAGTTTTGGAAAGACTTAAAAAGCAGAAAGGTTTTGAGGTTGTAGAGTATTCTGCTCAGCAAGGAATAGAAGAATATGTTGGTGATGTTCCTAACATAATATCTCCAAGAGATGGCTCTCGTAACAGAAGAGGAGAGGATGCTTGTGAAACAAATTTCTATCAGAAGAAAGAAAATTGTGACATCATATATTCCTCAGGCCTCAGCAATACCTCAGTCTGCTTTACAGTTTACTTCACAAGAAAATGTAGATCATGCTGATATCACAGTTGCAAATTTTACGTATGAAGCAGGTATACCATTAAGTGTGGCAAATTCATTCTATTTTCAGAGGATGGCTGATGCAATTGCTGCAGTAGGTCTAGGATACAAAATTCCCTCATATCATTCTCTTAGAGGTAAATTATTAAATATATGTGCCAATGAAGTGCAAGAAATTAATAAAGAGCTTCGCAAGTCATGGGAAGTGACTGGTTGTACGGTCATGGTTGATAGGTGGATGGATAAATCTGGTCAGGCTATGATTAACTTTTTCATATATTGTCCAAAAGGAACCATGTTTCTGACGTCAGCAGATGCATCTGAGATTGAAACCACCTTGGAAGGTCTTGTTGGTTTATTTGATAGTGTTGTTCAGGATGTTGGCTCCAGCAACATTGTGCAATTCATAACTGATGGTTCAGCCTGCTATAAAGCTGCAGGTAAGGTACTGGTGAACAAGCATAAGACTTTCTTTTGGAGTGTTTGCGCAAACCATTGCATTGAACTAATGTTTAAAGGATTGAGTGAAATGGATGAAGTGAATAAGGTAATGGCAAGGGCAAAGAAAATAAGTCAGCTAGTATATAACCATGCCTGGGTCCTTGATTTATTGAATGATATAACTGAAGGAAGAGATATAGTATTACCCTCCATGACTACATTTATAACAGACTATTTGACTTTTCAGAATATGTTCATGCTCAAAGAATCTCTTCAAGAGATATTTACATGTAACTTATGGGAGCAGTCAGAGCTATCTAAGCAAACACTGGGGATAGACGTAAAGAACATTGTGTCATGAACCACCTCATTACAGTTCTAAATGTTGCAGATGGTGGAGAAAGAGCTTCTATGGGATTTCTATATGATGCTATAGAGAAGGCAAAGAAAGAAATAATTTTGGCATTTGATAACCATGAATGTGATTACTCTCCATATTTAGACATTGTGAATCATGTACAAGATGAGCTCCACAGCCCTCTGCATGCTGCAGCTTATTATCTTAACCCTGCTATATATTATAACCCAGAATTTTCTATGAGTAATGTTGTTCAAAAAGGTTTACTTGATTGCATCGAGACTTTAGAGCCTGATGTAGCAGACCAAGATAATATAACAAGGCATAAAGCTTTTTATGAAGATGCTGTAGGAGATTTTGGAAGACCAATGGCAGTAAGGGGAAGAGAAACGTTATGTCCAGGTGAGTTTTCTTTAACTCTAATCTTGAGTAGTTGACTCTTTTTACTACCCAAAGATTCATTTTCCTTGGTTTTGAATTTACCGTGTAACTATTACGTTTATGGAATATTTATTGTCCAGCTACATGGTGGTCGATGTTTGGATCAGATCACCCAAATCTCCAGCGATTTGCTGTTAGGATATTGAGCCAAACATGTATTATGACTACCTCCGATAGGGCCTGCAATGCCAATGCATATCTCCATTCAAGTAAGAACAGATTGGAGCAAGAGAGGCTGAACGATCTGAAATTTGTCCGCTATAATTTGCATTATCAACAAAGGCAATTTTGGTACTCCAATTTTCTTTGGCATTCTTATTTTCTGTTTTGAGCTAAAAGAAATGTCTCTTCTTTTTCCAATCTGAAGATTTATGCATATGATTAGGCAATCAGTGGCAGCAGGAATCAAGGCAAATAAAAGAAGCAGATATGATCCTGTAAGTGTGGACAATCATAACGCAGAAGAGTGGATCGAAGATCCCGGATTAACCGAGGGAGAAGGAATCAATTTGTTAGATGTCGCACAACTTGATACTTCAGTTCCTACAGCCGATAGCCTCTGCAATATGAGTGATGATAATTTTGGCAATAACCATGAGAACATAAACGGAAGTGACGACGGTGTCGACAGTGCAGATTCATTAAACTGTATGCAGAAGCAAATCAAGACAACACCAAGGGAAGCCACAGTTCATATTCTTCCTGCAGTATCATGTGGATACATTATTATGTAGCCTTGTTGTGCAACATTGTACGACTATTAGGTAGCTCGTTACCAATGTTTAGTGTTAATACTCCTGTAAAGAATTGTTCAGACCTCAGGTTCACATTGAACTCAATGTGTCAAAGTGGTGCTGCTCGACTTACCATTCTCCATTTGTTCTCTGATTCCTCCCCTAATGTGATGTTGGCATGCTGGTGTTCTAAATCATGGAATACATTGTCATAAATTTTCTGGCTTGTTAATGTGAAACATCACAGGTCTCATGATTGAGGTTGTCAAACAAGTAAAATATATTATATCCACAACAAAGAATGATGGCAATTTTTTTAGCTGGTGGCAAGCATTATAGAATGCCGCTTCCATGGCAAGCAATCTATAATGCTAAAACACGAGTGAGTCAACTCTATAGATTGGAATACGTCTGGTCATTGTTTGCTTGTGGTTTGCGATTGACTTCCACTATACAGAGGGGTTCAATTTCACATTGCTAAATCTAATCTAATTTGCATATGGAAGAGGATATTAAAACATACAAATCTTTTGGGTCCTTTTTCCAATAGCTTAATCCTTTGAAATTCTAATTTAGCTTAAGACAATTATTAAAACTTTAAATATATTAAAATCTCATTTTTAATAACTTAATCTTTTACAATTTCCCGTCACCCAATTCTTCGAAGCATTTATCGACTTGCGTTTGGAGTCGCGATCGCGCACCGGAAGCAGTCTTAGAAAATGAGATAAAAGACGAGATTTGGTTGATCAGATAACACAAAATTCTACATCCGACATGACTTCAGTGCGAAGTCCTTATGGAAGACACCGAGTCTTTTTCCAGTTAATTGTGATGGAGGAATTTTTCAAACCACATTGAAATAATGACACTACAGTGTGGACAGGGAAAACAAACGTTTACAGAAGAGGGTGATGCTCATAAATTTACAGTTTTTATTGACCATTGTGTACATACATACATACATACAGATGAGTGATGCTGAGGTCTAATGATCCTATATCACTTCACAGTCTCTTTTATTTCTTCTTTGAAGAAAAGAGTGACTTGATACATACAGTAGATTGTGCTTAGGAATGCAGAGGAAGAGATGGATCAGCTCCCATCTTTTGCCGGTCACTCTCATCAATGCCTGCACCAGTAATAAAGCAAACAAAAATCATCATCTGCAAAATACATCTCACTGTTCTGTGGCAGCAAAAGCAATAAAATAAAAAAGGATGAAAAATCCTTCATTGCTCATGATCACTTAAATCTAATCCAGGAACAGATGAGATAGTTAGGATGAGGTTCTGACAATCTCTTCAGGTCAAGGCAATGGAGGTACTAAGAGGTCAATGTTGAACAAGAAAAAATGAGTCAAATCCTGCAATATAATGTCAAACATCATTTTTAACCAAGAGCATGCCAAATAGATATCCAGTTCATGATCAAATATGATCCAAAATTAGCACAAGAAAATTACTCCAGGATTATTGTTGGTGTTAGTAAAGCCACAAGCAGAATTCATGATCCAGCACAAAAAGAAAAAAAACCTATTTTTACCAACATGCATGATAAAAAAATGATCTTTATGGTTAAAAAGTTCGGTTCAATACCTCAATTCCTTCGCCCTGAAGCCAAATTCTAAAGCTCAAATGTTCAAGCAAGACGAGCTTAATGCTAGTCTTGGAAGATCACGCTGTCGGCGAGCTTGAGCAATGGATCGAGGCAATCCGGCGAGAACTTGCGAGCGAAGAGGTATGAGTAAGTCGAATTGGACCTCCGTAGTCGGTTGATAAGACTTGCAGAGATCTCAGGCGGCCGATACGTGTGCGGGTGCCCGCCGACGCTGTCCGTCCAATTCACTCTTGTCAGAGTGTAACGAGTGCATCCTTGGGGGTCCTGCATCTCGAGGAGCGTTGGGAAGTAGTGCTCCTCGGGGTAGCAGGAATCCGCCATCGACTTCAAGCAAGGCATCTTGAACTTCTTCCAGAGGCGGCGGTCGCGCACCACCAGCACGGCGTGCCGCCTGGCGAGGACGAAGAATTGCGACCCGACGCGGAACTGCTCGAACGGTACCTCGTGAATCATCACGTCATCACCGCGGGCCACGTACCGGTCCCGCAGCCCCGGCTCGCCGGAGAGGATCTCGATGTAGCTTCGGCGATGACGCCGAAAGCCGGTGGGAGTGGGAGGCGCGCCGGGATCAGCGAGGAGGGCGCGATAGGTAAACCGGAAGGAGTGGAGGGGAACGCAGTGCTGGGATAGGAGAGCGAAGAAAGCGTTCGCTGGGTCGTCGACGAGAGCGGCCGCGAGCAGGCGCCGCGCGGCCGAGATGAGGGTCGGCGAGGCGCGCTTCGTGGCCTTTGCCGGGATGAAGCGGCCGAGGAACGACGGCGTCGGCGAGAGGAGGAGGCGGGCGGCAGGGTCGGCGTGCACGTAGACGTTGAACAGCCGCTCGTGGCCACGGAAGAACCGCTCCCACAGCGGCGCGAACGTGAGGTCGGAGTTGGTGAGGAACAGAAACGCGATCTTGGGCGCCGACGGCGGTCTGCGGCGTAACCCGGCGCTCCCACCACCCCCGGCGGAGGCAAGGGTGGCGCGGCGGAACAGTGCGACGTCGTCGGCCTCGTCCATATCGGGGATGCCCGGCAGCGTCGTCGGCATCAGAATCCGGTGGGCCAGAACGAACACCACCGGCATCGACACCAACAGAACCAAACAAATGACAAACGGCCACGAAGAAATCATCGCCCGCTCGCGATCCTGCTCCAGATTTCTGCACAAAACCTTCATCGGGATCAGCAGACAAGGATCGGTCCTACGGGGTTTTATCCCTCAAACCTATCCACCAAACCGGCAACAGAAGCGCGAACTGGGGGCACCGATCGATTCGATTCCGCAGCGAGCTCCGGTTTCCGGCATCAAAATCGAATCTTGCCGCGCGGGAACGGATCAAAGGACGAGACTCGAGAGGCAGAGGAGAGGCGAGTGCAGCGAGGGCGAGGGTTTTGTCCCCTTTCTTCCCTTTTATTAACATTACTATGTTAAATGGTTTTTTCCAAGAACCGTACAAATTTAGTTTAACCATTTCGATTAAACATTAAATCCACACCGTCGATGAAAGATCCAACGACGAGAATGGCTTGGCGGGCGTGATACGTAGGTGACGCTTGGGATTAGATGCGGGGACAAGCGTAGGCGCTTACGGTACGAAGCCGATATAAAAATATATATCATTTATTTATTCTCTTATTTTTTGATCGTCGACATGGCGTCGCAACGGACGGTCCACGCTTATCGCCTGCTTTCGCTGCAATCGTCGTATCTCAAAAACTGTTCCAAGAAACATTCGGAAGCAGAAAACAAAATGTGTTTTTGCTTTCTGTAGTATAAACAAAGCTATCCTCCTCTCCTGCGTTGTGGTGGTGTCGCAATCCTAAGACTTGAGATGCCAACAAGTCTACGATTGACGTATACGGGAAGAAACGGTTGGCCATACTGTGACACTATCTATGTGTTGTAGATAATGTAAACACATTGGGAAAATGTTTATAAAAATAAGATGCGGTAGTGAAGTTTCACAAAGATAGATAGAAAACAAAAGGTGGGCATGAGTTGTTAGTGTTGCGTGCAGCAACAGCAACAATTCCAAGGGGTCGTTTCACAAAGATATATTTAATTACCTGTGATTGCAAACAAATTGCTTTGAACACTCAACTGCATCAGATGATAAAATTAATTTTAAATATCTCTATTTTTAATTAAAATAGATCTAACCATTGCATATCACTTTTGATGTTACAAAACAAAGGCATATAAGTGATCCACAAGTTATATCTCAAACTACGACGGACTAATTATATATTTTTTATATTTAAAAAATTTATATTAAGATTCTTATAATTATGAAAGTAAAATAAATGATCATATTTTTTCTATTGATTGTATTGACGGAAAATACTGCACATACGTGACATCACATGTTGGATTAGCATCAATTCGATAAGTAAAATAATCATTTTAATTTTTTTTCATTTGAGAAAAAATCAATTAAAAGATGAGGCCTCTCTGATCTTGATACCCAAATTAATTAAAAGAATAATTAATTAATTTAGGTATAAAAAATTCTAATTTTTTTTCCAATCTTTCTTTAGGGTTCTTTTTAATTAAAGATTCCATTCTTTTAAGAGCAACTAAAAAGAAGAAGAGAAACTATGATTTCCTGATTGAGTGTTCGGGAACCGTCTCCACGAGGATGCAGGCAGAACCTCCCCTCGTATGAGGATGCAGAGAAGAACCAATCATCTTTTGCTATGATGTAAGGTTAGATGTTGATATTTTCAGAAAAAGAAGCATTAAATATATGCTCACAGATATCTGAATCTTCCCGTCGTTGATTTGTTGGATGGAGTTGATCAGTCACGTATTCTTTACAGCTCCACGGCACTGTCATCATCTACCAAAGGTTGGCTGGTAAGAAAGCTTCTTATAAGATGTCATCAATGGACGACTTGCGATGTCATCAATGGACGACTTGACCAGCGCGCAACAGCCAAACATGTCGAAAACAGAGGAAAGATTTGAAAGGTCTACCTGCAAAAGATGGGAGAAAGAGTAAGAGATCTTGGTGTACTAAGAGCAGCATCAGAGCCGTCTTCACCTCCGCCAACCTCATCCCCGGGACGAGATGTACACCACGAGGCCGCTCTCCGTTTTCAAGAACTCCGCTGGTGCTGCTGCCATTCAACCACCACTACCACCACCACCACCACCACCAGAGGGTTGGTGAGGGAGAGGAGGCGAGCACCCTCGGCGCGGGCGCGGGGGACGAGGGCGAGGAGATCCTGGGAGGCGCCGGATTTGGATAGGAGGACGCGGAGGTCCCCTGGAAAGACGGCGGGAGGGAGGAAGGCAGAGCGGGCAAAGCCGAGGGTCTGGGCGAGCTTGTGGGCGCCGATGCCGGACTCGCCGAGTCCGGAGAAGAACATGGCGCCGGGGACGTTCAGGACGGCTTGGGCGAAGTCCAACATGAGATATTAACGCCTCAAATGATCGTTTTGGCCTTCACAATATTAGAAATCAGCATGTAATAATATCACATGCAATACGTCCAAAGGACAACAAATAATATATAGTTAATCCCTCAAATCACTAATTCTTGATGCCAAGCAACAAATCTCAGCTCGCTGGTTGTGGTCAAATGCAAGAAAGAACCATCTCATCAACCCAGTTTTGGAGTACTTAAGGGTCCATCTCATCAACAATCATTAAACCACATGAAGTGCATCTTTTGTTGTTTTATTATTATTATTATTATTATTATTATTCAATAACATTTTTTATCCTTGTTCTTCCAAGTTGTTGAGTAGCAGCATTCTGTCTTGCAAATCACTTGTGATAGCAAAGATTAGGAGTTTCTTATAATTATTACTACACTGAAATATCGACCTATTGCGTTACAGATAGCCTATGACTGAAATGAAATGCTGAAAGAGAAGCTTTTCGAAATTGATGCTGCTCAGCCTTAAGGACAAGACTGATTTGAAGAGGGAGGAACTGTTAGAATCTTTTTTCTTAGCTTTGAATAATATTTATCGAGTCTATTTAGTTCAATTATTTATTGAGTCGGTTTGGTTCAGTTAGAATTAAGTAGAGGTTAAGTCAGAAAAGAATCTCAATATTTCTGGATGAGAAACTCTTCTATTCTTATATTTAAGGAACTAATTATACAAGCAGCAGATCGATGTTAGAGACAGAAACAAGAGGTTTTGGTCTACAAGATGAAGCCGCTTATGTTGGGCATCAAATGCACGAAAGCAAGATGGAGACAGCTTAGTTTAAGCATGCAGTGGAAGAAAAATGAGAGAAGCATTGACCTTCAAATGCTTCCAAAGCTCAACTTGCTTTGCATTTGCTTCTCAGGCCTGTTTTACTTGATTTAGAATCCTTTCTTTTCCTTCCTCCTCCCCCCTTTCTCTCATTTCCACCCTATCAGTGTTGACATCTCAGAACCAAGCTTCCATGAATCTTCAGATATTGTTTCCTTCCCAAGTATAAGATGGCAAGAGGAATGCAGAGCCTACCGAACTCGAACCACCATTTCTATCATCTACCAGACCAGATCATGAACTCCTCGGGGTTCGGCCGTGGAGATTCTGTCAGCATGTTCAGCACAGATGGGATCGGTGGAATCGGCTTTGGCGTCGGCGTTTCCGTCGGTGTGCTGCTTCTCGTTATCACCATCGCTCTTGCATTCAACAGCTGTGCTCGAACCAACGCCACCTCTTCCAGGCGGCCTGCGAGAAGGCTCGCCGGTGCGATGGCGGACGTGGAAACCGGACTTGACGAGGCCACGTTGATGAGGTACCCGAAGGTCGTCTTCGCGCAGGCCAAGCTCGTTGACGAGGGAGGTGCAGCCTCGCGCTGCTCGATATGCCTCTCGGAGTACGAGGACGCCGACGTGCTTCGGGTGTTGCCGGAGTGCGGGCACCTGTTCCATTTGAAATGCGTCGATCCATGGCTGCGGTTGCGGCCGACGTGCCCGCTCTGCCGCACGACGCCGTTGCCGAGTCCCTCGCCGACGCCGCTTGCTGAGGTCATTCCATTGGGAAGGCAGTCACGATAGGATGTGGAGAAAAAAGAAGAGGTTTCTGCTTCACTTCTTCTCTGTAAATAATGGTGTCTATACAGTCCATTAACGATCTTTGGAGATCAGATCATCTTCTCTTAAGTTTCCTTCCATGGAAAGCTGAAGTGGAGATGTTCTCTTTCTCCTGCATTAAACCTATTTGAACGACCTGGAGACTTTATTCATTCTCATGGGCAATAATATCACATGTATACTACAGATGAGGTTGAGTATAGATTAGGTTTTTGAATGATGAGATGGAGTAAGAGGCTCAACTCCTTGACATGAACACATCATGTTGATGAGTATAGTCTGCATTGATTTAGAGGATGAGATGCATCGTGATTACATTTTACCCCTTTTGTAATTAGACCTTTTTTTTTAAGATCTTTATAATTATGAAATTAAAATATTTAACTCCGTTTACTCTAACATCATCGATTTTATCGACCGAAGCACAAAAACGATAAGCAAAAAAATAATTTCAACATACCAATTAAGTTTTTCGTGATAGCGAATGACAATGTCACTAAGAGCCGTAGATGGTTGTTATGGCTAAGGAGAGAGAGAGCAATAACGAAAGATGAGACAAAATGAGAGGAAGAATAGAGCGTCGCAAATGTTGTGCAATCCTTTCTGCATCTATGTTGTCGTCGATGCAATTACCGAGCGACATCGACACGGATGCAAAATAATACCAACGTAAATGCAAAAAGACATTGCTCTGCATCTATGCTAATGTCGAGCGACCATTTCGCTGCTCTACATCTACATCAACATCAACACAATTATCGAGCGATAATGTCAGTGACATCTACATTGTCCTCTTCCTTCTCTTTTTTTGTCTCATCTCTTATCGTTGTTTTCTCTCTTCATCCATAATATTCATCCATAATAATCATCTGTGACCCCCAACAATGCTGTCATCTTTTACCATCGAAAACATAACTAAAATATTAAAATTATCTTTTTACCCATCGTTTTCGTGCTTTCGTCGGTAAGATCGATGACTCTAGAAAAGAGTACAAGTATATAAAATAACATGTATAATACAGGCACCAAAAACAATCATACAGGATAAATCTAGCAATAGCCAAAATAAATCTTAAGTCCAGTAATCAGTCAAATCATCCATCAGCTGATCAATGTGACAACCATTAAGAATCGAGGAACAATGATGATTGTCAAACGTTCTTGCAAATTTGATCTGCGACCTCCTCCACGTTCCAAATCAGAGTATGGAGTAACAATGCTTCAAAAAGTTATGGAGATGGATACTTCTTGATCTTACTTGGTGGATTTTCCTCTGCAATTATCAGCATGTCTAGTGAAAGGAAGAGTATCCCTGTCCACGTTCACCTTCTTGTTTG